CTTGGCTCTCTCCATGGGCTTCAGTTCACACTTCAGATCCTTCCTGGGGCCATGGGACCCTTCCCGGCTTCTTGTCTTCTTCCCATCGCTATATTCCAGCATCCGGATGGTGACCCTTAGAGAGCCTCTTTTTCTGCTGTTTACCACTGACATCTTGGTGCTCCCTCCATAAGTCAGGGTTTTACAAAGACTTTATTACTTTATGTTTGTGCTACATAATAACTCATTCTGGGCATCAGTTCTAAAATGTGTTTACACTGAGCTCTTTTCCTGGAGCAGTTCCAATGTCATGTGTTGTGGGGTCCAGAGGAAGGAGCGGAGCTCCCAGTTCAGGGTTATCCAAGCAGTTAACGGGAGATGGGAAATCACTGCCCTGACCTTTTGTGCAGATTCGCGGACAAGAAAGAGATCCTTATTTTAATGCAATCAAATGACTTTTTAAATGTCCATGGGTCCTCAGAATCCTGAAGAAGACAAAGTGATGCTTATTTACACATTAGGCCTCCACACACTAGTTGTAGGTAATTTACCTTTACGTTGCTCAGCTGTTCTTAGACTCCACCGTGTAAGGGGTGTAAGTACAGTGTGTGTGGCCTACTTCATTAACATGTTCCCTACAGAAGTGGGATGGGAGAGAGGAGGAACACAGCTCTGAGGCTCTGCTCAGACTTATGCAGAGAAAGGCTTTCTCCTTTCAGGGCGTCTGAGTACATCTCGTCAGCCCTGAGGGCTGCTCCGGCCCTGACACTTTCTTGTATTCTTAGTATAAATCTGTTTTTTGTCTCGGGATACCTGAGGCTTCTGTTTAGGACATAAGATAAGTGATCACTGAAGTCTTAACTAGATGAAATATTGGATGAAGCCTCTTGCCCTGGGCCAGGAGCGCTCAGTGTGTGGGGAGGAGATTTGCCGGATAGAGCCCTGGGCACCATCGTGGAGGAAGCCAAGGGTTTCACAGTGTGTCTTTAAAAATCCTTCCGTTTCATCAAGCTGACCTCAGCTCATTCAGTTACCACTGATGTTGTAAAGACCAAGAATATTTCAACAATGTAGTCTGGTCAGAAGTCTGACTGGTGAGCTGACACACACCACAGCTGAAGCCCCAGCTCTGGGGCAGCTGGCTGGAGGGTCCACTCCACTCCTCTAGTTGTTCACAGTCATTTACTGCACAGTCACCTTTACTGTCCTGCAGAGGTTCTTGGGTGTTTTCTCTTTAGAAGTAGTTTCTTGCAACACTGCTGTTCAGTTGGTCTCAGCTACTCAAGCTTGACATCCTGCTGTAACCAGATTTCCATGCTCTTGGGGGCCTGAGATTTCACCTGGTCTGCCCAGTGTCCTTTGCTTGAGGCCACTTGTAAACAAAGTTTTTAGTCTTAGAGAAAACAGAGTTTCTTGCAAGACAAGAAAGTTGGCCCAGAGAGAGGGGGCCAGGTTGCTGGAAAGCAGAGAAAGGACCCCTTTTGTCTCCAGTCTATATTTTCCACACTTGCTGCCCTTAGGGCGTTCCATGCCTTTCTCTTGCCTAAGTAGGAGAAGACAAAAGTTTACTTGGGCCGCCTTAATTTTCCCACATTTCCCGCCTTTAGGGGACTCTGCACCCTTCTTTCTCACATGTGTGAATAAAGAGGAGAGTTTGTTACCCTTCCCCAGCCTCTCCTTTCTGTCTACGTATGCTGTCATGCACATTTTAGCAGGTGGCTTCCAGCGTGCTCTCCGAGCAGAGGAGTGGCGGGCATCCTGGGGGTGGAGGGCGCTTTCCTATCTGGTTTTTACTGCCTCACTTGCAGTCTGATTGATGTGTTGTAGTCCCATTTTCTTTTTTCTTGTTTTGGTACCAGAAATTGAACTCAGGGCCTTGCACTTGCCAGGCAGGCACTTAAGTAGTCCCATTTTCCTCTCCTGATTTTCTCTCAAAAGCTTTTCTCAATATTAGTTTTTTTACTCATTATTTTAAAAGTTAGAAAGTACAAATCCCATCAGGGAGAAAAAACAGTAATCCAAGTTCCTAACACTAATGGCACACTTATAATCTTAACTGTTTGGGAGGCTGAAGCAGGAAGATCGTGAGCTCAAGGCCAGCCTGGCCTACACTGTGACAGCCTGTCTCAAAACAAAAAATAAAAAAGAGTACTATAGCAAATAAATAAATAAATTTCCCAACACTCAGAGTTGGTCACTGTTCATGTTTTGGGTTTGTCTTTGATCTGTGTCTTTCTCTTTTTTACGCTTGCAACAATTTCTACTGTGAAAATGCAAAGTTTTTTTCTCATTGGCAGATTCCAGAATGTTAGAACTACTGGGTATTAGGATTCTGCTTACTAACTTTGGGCCTTGTGTTTGTCAGGCTTTTGCTTCAGTACTGGCTAACAAACAGCTCCTGACTTTCAGTGGCTTACACTGGTGCCCTCTGCTTCACACCAGGTGTGCAGGGTTGGGAGGCAGGGCCTGTGTGTTGTATGCTGACTGCAGACTGAGCTTGAATGGCTCAGCCGGACTGGTGCTGATGTCACAACCCTGCAGCAGGTTATTCTGAGCCAAATGTGAGCTATCATGCCCTGCGAACACCTGATTCAAGCTGTCCTGAGTGACAAGCTCCACAGTGGAAAATGCTATGTGGACTTTTCCAGTTGCAGAACAATCAACACACTGCCCAGTTAAGCCGAGAGAGCACCGGGAGGCGGGTGTTCTCTATAGGTCTCAGGTGTCCCCAGGAGGGCTGTTAGCTTCAGACTTGGTGGAGGTTGATAGGCTTTGTGATGCGTCCTGAGGGGTCCACGCAGTTTTCACAGAACGGGGATGAGCGTGGAGCTGCGGGGCTGCCCCGAAGCTCAGGCTCTGTCCAACATCGCACAAACCCTGCCCCCACACACAAGCGGGTATGGGGCGTACAGCTGTAATCCCAGCACTCTTGAGGGGCTGAAGCTGGAAGATTCCAAATTCAAGACTAGCCTGGGCAACTTAGCATGACCCTGTGTCAAGATTTTTAAAAAGGGCAGAGGCCCTGGGTTCATTTGCTAGTACTGAAAGAAAAAAATCAGGTAAAGTCATGAGACAGGCCAGACACAACAGCTGAAGTACATGGCTGTTGAAGGGCCTAAGATAGAGCCCAAGATAGTTTTGGTTCCCAGCCTACAACAGTCCATCTTGCCACAGCTGCTGTGCTCCAGTCGGCCAAGGTCAAGCCATCTGTAGTCTCTCACGCGGATGCAGCCTGTTGGGAGAGTGCCTTCTGCAGGGTCCTGCAGGCCTCCAGGCGGCCCCAGGCTGGGCACACATCCCCTTGGGACAGAGGCTGCCCCAGCGGAGGTGGAGGCTCTGGGATGCTGACAGAGGCCTTGGGCACCTAGGCAACAGCATTACTGGCACTTTGCCACCCAACACCGAAAGTCTGCCCTTGGCCACGCCCAAGGCGGAGGGTGAGGCCGGGCCAGAGGGAGGTGTTAGCAAACAAAAGGGTAGATCTATTATCTCAAAGTTCTGGAAGTGCAGTCTGAGATCAGGTGTTGACAACGTGAAATAAAAATTATAGGAGGCCTTTGTTTCGGACTAAGCTCTTGCACAAGGCCCCAAGAGGCCAGGCTAAAAATCAAAACAGTGTCCTCATAGTCACGCTTCATCAAACATAAATTATCTGACCTGAGAAATGACAGGGAGCCAGATTTCCCAAAGAGGCAGGTCAGTTTCCAGTTCCTGCCACCTGCTTTTAATGAGGTTCCATCCACTTATTTTTGGTGGGCAGGGGGCAGTAGGGGATAGTTTTGGGGCTAGGATCTCACTATGTGATCTAGCTCAGCCTTGAGCTCACCAATTAGGCAGGCACCACTGTGCCTCGTTGCTTTTGGTCTCTCTTGGTCTCTGCCTCTCTGAAGTTCTGGGAACTGAACCGTGGGAGTGCTGAGCTACATCCCCACCCCACCCCACTTCTGAGACAGGCCTCATTAATTGTCTAGACTGGTGTCAGGTGTGCAATCCTGCCTGTCCCCCAAGTAACCCCACTGCAGATGTGTGCGCATCTGCTGTGCCTAGCTCAACTCTGCTTTAATCTTTACCAAAAAAGGGAACAGGAAAGGGGAAAGGTGAGAAAGGAAAAGGGAGAGAGAAAAGGAAGGAAGGAAGGATACCTGAAAGTAAACTGATATTAAGCAGTTATTTTCCTGTTCTGTATCCTGTCTCTGCTCACAAGGAGGGTGACTTTGAAATGATCAATCCACTTTTTGTTCCGCTTTCTTTAGTAAACCAACCTCTAAGCAGAGCGTGACAGCACATGCCTGTAATCCTAGCACTTGGGAGGCTGAGGCAGGATTGCCCTGAGTTTGAAGTCTGAGCTACATAGTGAGTTCAAGGCCAGGCTGCACTACATAGCCGGACCCTGTCTCAGATAAATAACACCACAAAAAACGAAAAAACCCAACCTCCTCTGCTCAGCACATTGGGATGAATACTTGTTCTATTTTGTGGCAAATAAAGCTAATTAAAATCTCCTAAGGTCTCCATCTTGGCCTGTAAGTGACCATCTTCCTGTCTTCAAATGATCTGTTGGTGTACATCTGCATACTTTCCCTCTTCTTCCTCCTTCCTCTTATTGTGGTGCTGGGGGTTAAGCGCAGAGCCTTTGCACTGAGCTACATTCCCATTCCTTTTAATTTGTTACTCTGAGACGGGTGACTAAGTTGCCAGTATGAGCCTGAACTTGAGATCTGCCAGCCTCGGCTTTCCAGAGGGCTGGGATTCCAGGCATGGGCCCCTCTGCCTGGCTTCCGTGGGGTCTTTGAACATAACCGAGTCGGTCAGGCGTTGAGTTTTGGCAGCGCCACGCCCCCCGCCCCAGGAGCGATGTTTGCCATTATTCCTGCAGCGAGCCCTCGCTGAAGACGTGTGCCGGGCGGGAGGGCAGTCCTGCCTCACAGCCTGGAGTCGGTCCGGGAGAGAAGCCCGAGAGCCGGGCAGCTGGCGTCCCCCCGCGCCTGCGTCTATGTAAGTCTTTCTCGTTTCCCTCCTAGCGCGTGGTGCTGCGGAACGGGACTGAGGTCTTCCGCTCCTGGGAGAAGCCCCCTCTGCCGGTGTACACCCAGTTCTACTTCTTCAACGTCACCAATCCGGAGGAGGTCCTCCGCGGGGAGCGCCCTGTGCTGGAGGAGGTGGGGCCCTACACCTACAGGTGAGTCGGTGCGCCTGCCGGCCTGCTGTGCACACCAGCCCGGTGTGCGCGGGCGAGGTGTGCCCGGCTCAGCGCGGAGAGGCAGCCACTGCGGCTCGAGGACGTGTTTATGAAACCCTGAGAAGCCGCTCCCCACGCGGCCTTTAAGGTCACCCCTTGACACTCCCTAGTGACTCTAGGGCCCCTCATTCCCTCCTTTACATAGTTTTAGTTTAAGTTCGTGGAATTCACTTTTGGTCTGCTCTGTCTAACCCGGTTTTGCTGGGAGCCAGAGGCCAGCGAAGAGGCTTGGGCTGGCCTCTGATGGTGGAAAGGAGGTGATGTACTCTGAACACATTTTTGTTTATGGTTTTTTGAGACAAGGAACCCCTGTGTAGCCCAGGCTGGCCTTGAACTCTAGGTGATGGTCCTGCTTCAGCCTTGAGTGCTGGGCTTATAGGCCTGTGCCACCACACCTGGCTTCTAGGTGACGTTAAAGAGGTGAGCAGAGGGAGCCCCTGGGGACCTTAGGCCAGAGCATTTTCCCTGTCACTGACCTCCCTGTCCCTCCCCCTGCTTAAAGCCTCTCCCCCAGTGAAAACGTGCGTCTGTGGGGAGAGGGAGCAGGCAGTGGGCTCCTTCCTGCAGGACAGTCCCTGGCCCAGTGCTTCTAGCTGCTTGTTGAGGCTGGAGTCCAGTCTCACTCTTGAAATAATGAGCAGGCTGTGGCCAGGCACACACCAGAGGTAGAGTTCAGGGGAGGGGCGGCTCCCCGCACCCCCACCTGGCCTTGGCCTCCGAGGGCAAGGCCAAGTGAACTGTTCACCTGAGAGTCACTGGTACCCCGGCCACAGGCAGGGGTTTTGGAGCGTCACTCGAGGGTAGACAGCAGCCTGTGTCTGGAGCCATCAGTACTGCACCCAGGGCCTCCAGAGTTACCTCTGCGTGCCTCGCCTTTTCCCATGCTAACTGGGACATTCACCTGGCACGCTGTGCTGATGCTGGTCTGGTTTGAGTCTGTACTCAGCGACCCGGTGTCCCGAGTCCATGCCCAGCTCCCATGGCCCTGCACCCCTCATAAACTAGCTGGAGACTCTGTCTGTCGTCAGTCCTGGGCAGCCTGGGTTTCCACCGGGAGTGCTAGTCTCACTTGGGTCTCTGCCTGGAGCCTTGACCTGTGGGAGCACCCATGCAGCGCCACCTGAACCGCCCCACCCTGAGCACAGTGAGGTCTCTGACAGAACCCAGGCAGAGTCCCTACCCAGCATGTTGGGCTCAAGGGCTGAAGGTCTGACGACTCGCCCTGTGCTTGGGATATCTGAGGGTGCCCTATACCCTTGCCAGGCCTGCTGGAATCTCCCCAACACTAATCCTGGACACACCTGGGTCTCCTCTGGGCATGCCAAGGTGACACGAGCCTCCACCTGGTGCCTGGAGCTGCTTCCCCTGATTACCAGAGAAAACATCAGGTACCTCATGCTGGCCCCCATCAGCAGGAATCCATAGCAGCCACCTCAGAACCCAGTGCCCCACACATTTTCTAGGCTCCAGCTTGGACAATTGCCACAAACAGGATTAGGGAGAGGGGTCTCCTTAAACTAAGAAACGTCCACACAAGCCCCCAGACTGTAAAGAGGGGCAGAGAAGAATGTGACTTTGTGAGATTAAAGACTGCAGGCTCTGAAGGAAACCCTCCCTGCAAATACTAGGAGCTTCTCTCTGTTTTCTTCTCCCTTTGTTTAACCCATTTTTTTTCTTTGCTCCCCTACTAGTTTGTCTTTGACTTTTACTTTTAGTGGAGTTTGGAATTTTATCACCCATTCTCTTGTTCTCCCCTTTTTAAAATATTACTTAGTTTTATTTGTTTGAACAAGTCCTGCTTTTCTCCTCTCTTCTTGCTATCCTTTAACTTGTTCCCTTAGTATTTTTGATTTTCTTTTCCTCTAGTTCAATCTGTACTACCTATTATTTATCCTTTTCCTAGTTGTTTTTTTCCCTTACTATTATTTAATACTACTGATTCTCCTTTATTCTTTAGTAGGTATCGAAAACCAGGTTAAATAACCTTAAGTTATTGCAGGCTGATTGGGCCTGCAATCTCCCAAGCAAGTGGACTTCAAAGACTTAAATAAATGCAGATAATGGTAATGATTTTAGGGAACCAGGAGGGACTAACTAACTCCCTTACAGTTTTAGTATTCTTGGAGTTAGCCAAAGACTGCTGTGGGCAGCCCATATTTATTTGGTTTTCAAACAAAGGAAGAGGATACTCAAGAAAACCGTGGGAATCTGGGCAGGACTTTTTCAAGTAGTAAATTATGTTAATTTAGGAGAACTGTGTTTTCTCTAGGAAGGCCTTTACAGCAGGAGTGAGGTTCCTGCAGCTGCAGTTTCCTTGTAATTAGTTGGGGTGGCAGACAAGGTGCCTAAGCTCTAGACAACTCACAAGTAAACATGGAAAGTCAATTGGTTAATATTAAATCCTGCTTGGAGCCACTTTGTAGTGGTCTCCAACAACTCACCCTTTTTGTTTTTGTAAATGTAGCAGTTGAAATATGATGAGCATTGTCAGAACAGAAGTAGAAGACACAAGCATGTTAATATAATTAGTCCTTTGTAGAATCCATGACAGGTCTGTTGGCAGCGGACTTTGCCGTGGGTTTGAAGATCTCTTCTCTCCATAGCCCCATGTTTCAGGATGGCATCCACAATGATGTTTTATGACCTGATAATATATAAACATACCGTTGTCCCCATGTCACTAACTGTATTGGAACACCTTATTTATCTATCTAATATCTTGTAGTTATACTTTTTTATTGGTTGTTTATGACCAAGTTAAAGTGAGAGCTATATTAATTAAAGTTAATTTTTTGCAAGGTCAGTTAAATCCCCTCAGGATTTACCTTGGAAACATGTACAGTGTCTCTCAGTACGTTCGTCAGTGTTAGCCGTCTGGATGAGTCACAGCCATTGCTTGAACAAGTTGTTTTTTGTGAAAGCTTGGGAGACTTTTTTCTCCTGGTGACTCTCTTTAGGCACACTATACACCATACAGTCACTTTTTTCTGTGGTCCCATCATCTCCTTGATCAGAAGATCAGGACTCAACTGAGTTGCGTGATGTTGCAGCAGAGGTTCTCTTATATCCTGGGTCTTATTTGACCTTGGAGGGCTTTGGGCAAAATATTGGTGTCTTCTTAGCCCAATTCATCTTAATTTTTGGTCTCTAAACCTCAGTTCTTAAACAACCAGCAGAGAAGATTAATGACATTACATTGTAATATGAGAGCAGTGAACTTAATTACTAAAATTTTATCTGAGTATTAAGCACCTTGAAATGTAAAATATTGCCAGAGAATTGTTATTTCTTACCAGTCATGAGTGTTTAGTAGTTGAATCCCTGCAGAATGTTAACAGACAACAGTTATATCATTTTACAAAGAAAATTCAAAATCAAAAGCCATGCATAGTATTGTAACATAATAGACATGATGAAATTTATGAAACACAATTAAATGTGTAACATTTAAACATTTAAACACATTTTAAACACATTTAATCATATTTAAATGTTGGAATACATTAGCTCTTTTAGTCAGTCACCCCTATGTAATACATAAGAAGCTTTTATTTAATTTGTTTTCTTTCAGTAGGATGTCGTTGAGGAAATTTATAACATTGGGCTGTTTAACGTCTAATCATCTCCAAATGTAGTGGCATATACAGAGCATATACATCACATAAGTTCTTATTAAAAAATTATCATTAGAGTGATGACCTCATGTTGACCTGACATGAACCTCTTATTACAAATATCTAGAACACAAGAGAAAGGCAGATGTCTAACATTATATGAACAATTTCAGCTTTGTATTTTAAAATACTGTATATTTTGAGGGCATGAATACATTTAATACAACATGAAATTAGTAATAACAAATTGTCATTATTTTATTTTATTTTTTTTAAATTTAGTTTGGTACCAATAGCATCTTTTAATCAGAAAACCTTGTTGTCTTAATTTTTGAAAATTTAACCTTCTGACAGTGATGAACGTAAACATATCACAGTAATATATTTTGAACAGTATTAATTGAGGTAACTCCCAGAAGGCTATGGAGATCATTGGGGCTCCTTATTAATGAACAAAAACTGGTTAATGTTACTCCAGGCAGCTGCTTTTTTATTCATCAGTTGGAGGCCTGTACAACAATCTCTCCACCCTAAGAGATTTTTATTTAAGTATCTTAACCCATTTTTTATGTCGTATGAACATCCAGTCATAATACTTGACACATCGTCCTGTGAAGGCCTTCTCCATCTCCCACACTTTCCACTCTACGTAGACTTACTCACAGGTATAAAATAAAATAAAAAAAAAGGAAAAAAAAAATCACAATCCAAATATTAAACCTTGGTAGGGTCCTGGGTTCAAGCCACGTTGGGTGCCAAAATATCAAAAACCAGGTTAAATAACCCTAAGTTATTGCAGGCTGATCAGGTCTGCAGTCTCCCAAGCAAGTGGACTTCAAAGGCTTAAATAAATGCAGACAATGGTAATGATTTTAGGGAACCAGGAGGGACTAACTCCCTTACAGTTCTAGTATTCTCGGAGTTAGCCAAAGACTGCTGTGGGCAGCCCATATTTATTTGGTTTTCAAACAAAGGAAGAGGATACTCAAGAAAACCGTGGGAATCTGGGCAGGACTTTTTCAAGTAGTAAATTATGTTAATTTAGGAGAACTGTGTTTTCTCTAGGAAGGCCTTTACAGCAGGAGTGAGGTTCCTGCAGCTGCAGTCTCCTTGTAATTAGTTGGGGTGGCAGATAAGATGCCTAAGCTTTAGACAACTCAGACAGGGTCTCGCTATGCTGTATCAAACTCCTAGACTCAAGTCAGCCTCCTTCCCACCTCAGCTATTCAGTAGCTGAGAGTACATGAGTCCTTACTGGGTCCTGGTTTTTGGGGGGGACCTTTTTGAGACAAGGCTTCACTGTACAGTGAAAGAAAAATAAATAAC